ATGCTGCTATGAACACAGTTGAGCATATTTCGTTATTGTATAAGGGTAAATCTTTTGGGTATATGCCTAGGAGTAGAATTGCTGGGTCTTGGGTCTTGTTGTAGGCTGATTTCCATTTTTCTGAGGAATCTCCATACTGATCTCCAAACTGGCTGCACAAGTTGGATTCTCACCAGCAGTGGAGGAGAGTTCCCCTTTGTCCACTCCCCCTCCAGCATAAATTGTCATTAGTGTTTTTCATTTTTGCCATTCTAATAAGAGTGAGATGGTATCTCAGAGTTGTTTTGATTTGCATTTCCCTGATGGCTAAGGATGTTGAGCACTTTCTCAAGTGTCTCTTCACCATTTTGGACTCCTCTATTGAAAGTTCTCTATTTAGTTCTGAACCCCACTTTTTAATCGGATCCTTTCGTGTTCTGGAGACGTGCCATTTGACTTCTTTGTAAATTTTGGAGATCAGCCCTCTGTCAGATGTGGGGTATGTTAATATCTTTTCCCATTCTGTGGGATGGCATTTTCTCTTGTTGACTGTGTCCTTTGCCCTGCAGAAGCTTCTCAGTTTCAAGAGGTCCCATTTATTAATTGTCTATCTCAGTGTCTGTGCTGCTGGTGTTATGTTCAGGAAGCAGTCTCCTGTACCAATTCATTCAAGGGTACTTCCCACTTTCTCTTCTAAGAGATTCAGTGTGGCTGGATTGATGTTGAGGTCTTTGATCCATTTGGACTTAAGTTTCATGCATGGTGATAGATATGGATCTATCTCAGTCTTCTATATGCCAGCATCCAGTTATGCCAGGACCATTTGTTGAAAATTCTTTCTTTTTTCTACTGTATAGTTTTAGCAACTTTGTCAAAAATCAGGTGTTAAAGATGCGTGGATTGATATCAGGGTCTTCAATTAGATTCCATTGGTCTACCTGTCTGTTTTTGTGCCAATACCAAGTACTTTTCATGACTATAAGCTCTGTAATAGAGCTTGAAGACAGGGATGGTGATGCCTCTGGGAGTTCCTTTATTGTACGGGGTTTCCTTGGCTATCTGGGTCTTTTTTTTTCCATGGAAACTATGAAAGCCAGAAGGTCCTGGATAGATGTTCTACAAACACTAAGAGACCACAGACTCCAGCCCAAACTACTGTTTACAGCAAAACTCTCAATCACTATAGATGGAGAAAACAAGATACTCCGTGACAAAATCAGATTATGCAATACGTACCCACACATCCAGGCCTACATAATGTTCTAGAAGGAAAATTCCAACCCAAGGAAGTTAACTACCCTCAAAAGAACATGGGCAATAGATAATCTTACTTTACCAGAAATCAGAAATAGGAGAAAAAGTTCACACACAAAACCACCACCAAAAATGGATCCAAAGCAAACGAGAATCAACAATCAATGGTCATTAATATCCCTGGATATCAATAGTCTTAACTCACCTACATAAAGGCACAGGCTAACAGGGTGGATACAAAGACATAATCCATCCTTCTGCTGCATACAAGAAACACACCTCAATTTCAAAGACAGACCCCACCTCAAGGTTAAAGGTTTGGAAAAGACGTTCCAATCAAATGGACATAAGAAGCAAGTGGGTATAGCTATCCTAATATCTAACAAAATAGACTTCAAACTAAAGTTAATCAAAAGAGATGAAGAAGGTCATTTCATATTCATCATAGGAAAAATCCATCAGCAGAAGTCTCAATTCTGAACATATATGCCCCAAATATAAAGGTACCCACATTCATAAAATAAACATTAATGAAACTCAAATCACACATTAAACACCACACACTTAGAGTGGAAGACTTCAACACGTGACTCTCACCACTGGACATGTCCACCAGACAGTAACTTAACAAAGAAACAATGGAACTAACAGAAGTTATTACCCAATTGGGTTTACCAAACGTCTATAGAACATTCCACCCAAACAAAAAATAATATACCTTCTTCTTAGCACCACATAGAACCTTCCCTAAAATCAACCACATACTTAGCAGTAAAGCAAAACTCAACTGATATAAAAAAAATTTGGAATAAACCCCTATATCCTGTCAGGCCAGTACAGCTTAAAATTACAATTCAACATCAACACAAACTGCAGAAACCTTACAAACTCATGGAAATTGAACAATGCTCAATTGCTTCACCCCTAGGAAAAGGAAGAAATAAAGACTTCCTAGAATTCAATGAAAATGAAGGCACAACATACCCAAACTTTTGGGATACTTTGAGAGTGGTTCTAAGAGGAAAATTCATAGCACTATGTGCCCACATGAAGAAACTGGAGAATTGCCACACTAAAGAATTAGCAGAGCACCTGAAAGCTCTAGAACAAAAGGAAGCAAACTCACCCAGGAGGAGTAGACACCAGGAAATAATCAAATTGAGAGCTAAAATCAATAAAGTAGAAACAAAGAAAACAATACAAAGAATCAGTGAAACAAAGAGTTGGTTCTTTGAAAAAATCAGCAAGATAGACAAACCTTTATCAAACCTAACCAAAAGACACAGAGAGAACATGCTAATTAACAAAATCAGAAAGGAAAAGGGGGACAAAACAACAGACACTGGGGAAATCCAAAGGATCATCAGATCATACTTTGAAAAGCTTTACTCCACTAAATTGGAAACATCTAAAGGAAATGGAAGATTTTCTGGATAGATATCACTTACCAAAATTAAATCAAGGACAGATAAACATTTTAAACAGATCTATAACCCCTGAAGAAATAGAAGCAGCCATAAAAAGTCTTCCAACCAAAAATAGTAAAGGGCCAGATGGCTTCAGTGTGAAATTCTGCCAAAAATGCAAGAGGAGCTAATACCAATACTCTTCAAATTGTTCCACACAATAGAAGCATTAGGATCACTGCCAAATTCTTTTTACGAGGCAGCAATTAGCTTAGTACCTAAACTACACCAAGACACAACCAAGATAGGGAGCTACAGAACAATCTCCCTCATGAACACTGATGCAAAAATACTCAATAAAATACTGGCAAATAAAATCCAAGAACACATCAGAAAAACCATACACCATGATCAAGTAGGCTTCATCCCAGGGATGCAGGGATGATTCAACATATGAAAATCCATCAATGTAATCCATCATATAAACAATCTGAAAAAGAAAAACCACATGATCATTTCACTAGATGCTGAAAAAGCCTTTGACAAAATCCAACACCCCTTCATGATAAAGGTCTTGGACAGATCAGGGATAGCAGGAGCATACCTAAACATAATAAAAACTATATACAGCAAACCAACAGCCAGCACCAAGCTAAATAGAGAAACTAAATGCGATTCCTCTAAAATCAGGAACAAGACAAGGATGTCCACTCTCTCCATTTGTCTTCAATATTGTACTTGAAGTTCTAGCTAGAGCAATAAGACAACAAAAGGAGATCAAGAGGATACAAATGGGAAAGGAAGAAGTCAAACTTTCACTATTTGCATATGATATTATAGTCTACATAAGTGACTCAAAGAATTCTACCAGGGAACTCCTACAGTTAATAAACACCTTCAGCAAAGTGGGAGGATACAAAATTAACTCAAAAAAATCAGTAGCCCTACTATATGTAGACAATAAAGGGGATGAGAAAGAGCTCAGAGAAACATCATCCGTTACAATAGCCACTAATGCCATAAATAACTTGGGGTAACTCTAACCAAACAGGTGAAAGGCCTATATAACAAGAACTTTGAGTCTTTAAAGAAAGAAACTAAAGAAGATACCAGAAAATGGAAAGATCCCCCATGCTCTTGGATAGGTAGGAGCAACATAGTAAAAATGGCAATCTTACCAAAAGCAATCTACAGATTCAATGCAATCCCTATCAAAATGCCAGCACAATTTTTCACTGAACCCCAAAAGGACAATCCTCAATTTCATTTAACAACTTTTCATATGCATCTTTCATTTGTTTGGTTAAGGCAATCCCAAGATATTATTTTGTTGTTTGTGGCTATTTTAAAGGGTGTTGTTTCTCTGATTTCTTTCTTAACACATTCATCATTTGTTTATAGAAGTGCTATTGATTTTGAGTTAATGTTGTATCCTGCCAGTTCACTGAAGGTGTAGGAGTTCCCTAGTACACTTTTTGTGGTCACTTATATATACTGTCTTATCATATGCAAATAGTGAAAGTTTGACTCCTTCCCTCCCAATTTGTACCCCCTTGCTTGCTGTCTTAATGTTCTAGGTAGAATTTGCAGTACTTTTTGAATAGATATGGAGAGTGGACAGCCTTGTCTTCTTCCAGATTTTAATGGAGTCACTTTGAGCTTCTCTCCATTTAGTTTTATGTTGGCTGTCTGCTTGCTGTATATTGCCTTTATTATGTTTAGATATGTTCCTTGTATCCCTGATCTTTCTACAACTTTTACAAGGGGGTTTTGAACTTGTGGAAGGCTTTTTCAGTATTAATGAGATAATCATGTGGGGTTTTTTCAGTTTTTTTAATATGGTGGCTTACATTGGCAGATTTTTGTATATTGATCCATCCCTGCCTCTCTAGGGTGAAGCCTACTTGGTCATGGTGAATGATTTTTTGATGTGTTCTTGGATTCAGTTTATAAGTATTTTATTGAGTATTTTTGTATCAATGTTCATGAGGGAGATTAGTCTGTAATTTGCTTTCTTAGTTTTGAGTTTGTGTGGTTCAGGTATCCGGGTAACTATAGCCTAGTAAAAAGTTTGTCAGTGTTCCCTCTTTTTGTATTGCGTAGAACAACTTGAGGAGTATTTGAAGAGCATTGGTATTAGCCCTTCTGGCATAATTCTGCACTGAAACCAACTGGCCCAGGGAATTTTGTTTATTTTTTATTTTTTAGTCTCAGAGACTTTTGATGATTGCTTCTTCTTCATTCAGGGGTATAGCATATTTTAATTGCTTATATGGTCTTGATTAAATTTTGTTATGTGTTACCCATCCAGAAAATTGTCCATTTCTTTTAAATTTGCCAAATTAGTGGAGTACCAGATGAGATTTTTTAAACGTTAGTTTTTAATAGCCAAAGAATAGTCCCTCAATTCATACTTACACATTGAAAAGTCATAAAATCAACAAAAAATATTTGAAGGAATGAATCATTATAACATCCTTCCGTTTCTGAGCATTGCAGAAAAGACAGAATTCAGACTAGCATTTTGTCAGTTGACATTTCAAGACCTTGATCTGATTGACAATATTTTCTGCATTATAACTCAGGCAGCCAAGGAGGACATGATAAAAAGCAAGACGAGAGGGATTTTCTAACAGATGTAAAGATGGCAGTGCAGATGAGGCAGGGTAGGTCTCATCTTCCTCAAATTCAAGATGAACCTAGGAAACAAATGATAGCGATTTATTAATTGTATTATTAGTAATTATCAATCTGTAAGTGCTTTTAAATGTTGAGAAAAGACTTGAGAGAAAATTAGGAAAACTTTACTACAAAATATGGATTTTCATGAGTCTAGAGCAAGCAGTCATAGATCTGTTAATTATCTAAAGTTAGACACAAGACCTCCCCATTTATTTCAACATGCACCTTGTTCTGAGACGGAGTATGTCCCTGTAAAAAAAAAAGACAGAACTTGCTCTTTGACTGCAGATGTGGGTTTGAATGAAGGACGGTTGTCTCTAAGGTGCCACTTGTGTGTCTTGAATTTCTTGCTCTCAATGCAATCTATCTGGCACCTAATATCTGGAATCAATGTCCCCAAAATGATGGAGACTGTACTTGGTGGTTAAGATGCAGACGGACCAGGGATAGTGTGATAAGAACTGCTCAAATCTCAAGAGGACTGTCAATCTGTCCAGAAGGGGCACTGTCCAAATTACTGTGAGAAGTTCCTGTCTCTTGAGATACCTGTGCTGTGAGGTGCTGAGAAAACACCTTGGAGAAAGTTGGAGTTGCCAACAACCCTTAGGCATGAGGCTGTGTATGAGCATTCCTCAATTGCAATGTCCCAGAACAGAGATAGTTCAAATGCATTTTTCTACCAGAGTCAGATTTTTCATGAATGATAAAAGCAAAGTAGTAAAAGGCAATAACTTACGTTTTTGAGTAATGACCCCACATCATACAGTAGTTCTGAGAGTGTTGTGAATCTTGAAACTATTATTCTGATTTTATATATGAAATCACTAACTTTGATGGTTGACTCCAAATCAGCAGTATCTGTGGCCACATGCCTCAGGGTGTTACTCCATCCAACCAGCATACCTATGGTCATATTCAGAAGGCCCTCAAGATAGAAACAATTGAAAATCACATTAAAACATGTAAAAATTGTAGGTTGAATTGCATGTCATATGTAGTATAGTTTTGTAACTAGTGTTATACAATTATTTGAGGATCATTTGCAACAGGGTTAATATAGTATTTAGTGAGTGTCTAGACACAGAATAGATATTAATATATATTCTCTTCCTTAACATTAATTCATATTTACAATCAAAATCTGTTATGCATACCAGATGTACAGAATGTGCATAGCAGATATACAAAATCATTAAGGAGCACAAAATGTATGTGAAATGTGTGCATGTATTTCAGTACTTTAAATTTAATATATTCCAACTGGTTATGTCAAGGAATAGTATGGAAGATTCTATAATAATTACTCTTAAGAGGTTACATTTGTCAACCTTGCACCAGATGTCATATTTGCCTCCTGTGAAACACAAAATTTCCCAAGGTGTGAAACCCGAGGAGAAGGCAGCTATATCACATCAGTATTAGGCGCTTTTCCCTTGATGCCCAGTGTCCTTCCTTTTCCTGTTATGCTCTGTAGCTTGGCATAGCCAGTGCACTGTTTCAGTTGATTCGATGAGAAAATTACACCAAAGACTCACCTGAATGTCTTGGCCTTCTGTTGTATTATCTGGGACAGGAAGGGAATAATTGTAGCATAGCTGGGGGATTTTGTCCCGGATTGGTGAAGCCGAAGCATACTCTTTTTCCTGGAAATGATGAGAACATTCATGAATAGGAGAACTGAGTCAATGAATCCACGAGTAGTATATTAATGCATTTAGTCTATGTTTACTTCTAAAGGATAAGCATGTGTAAAATATTAAATTTAGTCATTAAGATGATGATGATTTGGTGTAGTTAGTGCATTTGATCTCTAATACCACATTTCTAGTTACCATTTGAGCCTACTGACTTCTCTGATTTACTATTATCTTGTTTTCTCATGCTTTCAAAAAATTTAGTATTTGAAAGAACAGAAACATAAAACAAAATCACAAAACACTTCATATTTAATGATGCTCTTTCCTAGATTATTAATGGCACAGTGAATATGTAATTGTGTTTGTGAACCCTTAACTTTCTTATATATATATATATATATATGTGTGTGTGTGTGTGTGTGTGTATGTGTGTGTGTGTGTATGTGCATATAATTTTTAAATTTAAATTAGAAACAAGGTAACTTCACATGTCAATTCCAGGTCCCTCTCTGTTTCCCTCCCCTCTCTCATGCCCTCCCACCAACCCTCCCCCAATATCCCCTCATTTCCCCAGGGAGGGTGAGGCCCTCTATGAGGGTGTCCATAGTCTGTCATTTCATCCAGGGCAGGGCCTAGACCCTACTCCAAGAGTTCAGGGTGAGAATGCATCTCTCATTGTTGAATGGGAGTCCATTTGTATACCCAGGATAAATACTGATCTACTACCCAAAGCTCAAAAGATTACCTAGGCCTCCTCAATAGCACCCACATTCAGGGGGTCTTGATCAGTCCCATGCTGGATTCCCAGGCATCAGTCTGGGATTCAAGTGTTAATCCTTGTCAGGTCAGCTGTTTCTGGGGCTTAAACCAGCCCAGTCTTAATCCCTTTGGTCATCAGTCCTCCCTCTCTGTCATTGGATTTCTTGAGTTCAGCTCAGTGCTTATCCGTGGGAGTCCGCCTCTGTTTCCATTAGGCACTGAATGAAGGTTCTGTTTCCCAGACTCTCTGGCCATGGGATTGTTGGCTGACACTCCCCAGATCTATGTCTAAAATCCATATGTGAGAGAGTACATGCCATGTTCTCTTTTTGTGACTGGAACCCTTTACTTTCTGTTATTTAAGTTATCACTGAGTCACTATAAACATTGACAACAGCAATTTCCTTAAAAATTCAAACTGCAATCTGTTGTTCATAATAGAATCAGTTATTAGACACTCAAGCATAATATTTTCAGAAATATTGTACAATGAAAAACTAAAATATAAGTAATATACTTAATGGTTCATATTCTTAATATTTATTGAATTTGTATTTTGTTAAATATATCATTTAAATTTTATAGTGAGCAGAATTGTAAAGATTAATGAACTAAGGATCCTAACAAATTGGAAGATTGCTAGTGAAAGTTGCAGAATGAAAGAATTTCTAGTGATTAAATACTATTATATGAATGTGCTTATTAGACATAGGAGAGGTCTGTGTTGCCAGTGTCTAATTGTATGAAGTTCTTGCCCATTTTTGCCACCTTAACCCACTTAGAGAGGGCAAAGCACCTTCAGTCAGAAGGCAGGGACTCTTTACAGATGTAACAGTTTGCTTCAAAATAACAAACTCACTTCTTACAGAGTCTCCCAAGTCTCTGGATTTCTGAGAAACTATTATTATTATTATGTTATTATCATTGATTTTCTCCTCCCAGCGTTAGTTCTCTCATTTAATTCTTCTCAATTTGAGCCCTCCTTACAAGCCGATCTGCTTTATTAGGTATCTGCTGTGCACTATGTGAAAATGCTGATGGGAATTAGCCCCTAGTACCACCAAACAGGAAGTCAAAGGTTCTTTTCAGCCAAACTTTATAAGGCTTTGTGTCACAAGTGGAAAATTTTTAATTAAAAATAATTAAATATAAAGACTCCCGCCCCCTCCTTAAATTGAAAAATTTCACCAAACTGTTCCAATCTTCCGGTTGTCTTTCAGTGGCAGATGGTACCTTGTGCCTGTAGAGGTGTGCTATATGGTGTTTGGATCACAGTGTTTCCCCACTGAGCTGTGGGATCACCCAGACATTGTTGCTAAAGCTCATCTTTGAAGCTTTGAGTCAGTGAGGTACTTACGAACTCATTGAGCAATCGTGATGTGAACCGGTTGGTGAGCAGAGATAGCAAAGTTATCATAAGAAACCGTAGCTCTAACTCCACCTCGCAACGCTCAGGTGAGTAGACACACTGGGTCTCAGAGGCCGCGTTCTGCCGCAGAAGCATGCTTGATAACAGCGGCAGCAGAAGTGCCTCAGTCATAGAGATAGAAGTCACCTAAATGGTCTATCCAGTGAAGTTCCCCGCATTACCCTGCCTAGAGAAGCCTTGTTTAGCCCCCTGAGCTTAGTACGTTTGAGCTGGCTTGGGAGAAGAAACGTCACCCACTATGATAATCACCTCATCCTTTGTCCTTCATGACATGATCAGACAGATGCTGTGACCTCTGCTCTGATCACACCCACTTTTCAAATATGTGACAATGACCTGTGCTTATTTCATCAGGTGATCGACCTCTGAAACATTAGATATTTGTCGTCCTTTCAAGAGGAACGTTGAAATATGTCCCACATTAAAACGCCCTTTCTTTCTTCCTTCTTTCTTTCTTTCTCCTTTCTTCTTTCTTTCTTTTCCTTCTTTCCTTCTCTTTTAAAAAATTCTTTTTGAGACATGGTCCCTCTGCATAGCTGTGGCCATGCTGTAACTCGCTGTGCAGATCAGGCTTATTGTTCTTTGATGCAGCTTCGAGCAATAAAACAGGATCCAACAAACCCACATAGAGTTTATTGGGCAACGGAGCAAAGGAGGGAAGCAGAAATGGAAAGAAGAAAGAACAGGCAGGAGGCACTGGCTTATATAGGGAATGGGAAGAGTTCTGAAGGAGTCTCAGCAGTTGGGGCCGTTGAAACCGTAGTCACGGAGCTGCCCTTGGCCCACCCCTGCGAGGCCCCAGTTCCACAGGGTGTCTGCATGCAGAGCCCTTATGCAGCCACCTAACACATGCACCATGCAGCCATGCCACCTTTAACAGCTGCCAGTGAGGAGCGATCAACTGTCAAAGATGGATCCCGGGGAGAGGGAAGGTAGCCTGGAGAAGAGCGATCCCAGGTTTGGAAGAGAGCCCTAGGATTACCGAGGCTCTATGACCAGGAAAGGTTCCCTAAAGAGAAGGTCCAGGTGCTGGAGAGGGCTGGTGCAGAGTGACAGGCAGGTGCGGAGGAGAAACCATGGGCGGGAGAAGGAGAGGAGTTGGGAGCAGAAACAGGGCCAGGTTGCCCAGTGCCTGGGGAGAGGGAGAAGCCAGGATATCCAAAAGGCTGGGCTCAAACTCAGAGATCCTCCTGCTGCTGCCTCCCAAATGCTGGGATTAAAGGTTGCTCCACACTGCCAGACTAAATTGACATTTTAAACCTCAGTGATACTACCACAGATTATTTTCAGAAATAAAAATATGAGGGTTAGCAGTGGTGTAGTAGGTAAAATTTCTGCCACAATGTATGAAAATTGGAATTCCAATTCACAGAATTGAAGCAAATGCCTGGTGGAAGTTGAGGACCTTGGCAAGTCCAGACTTCTTAAAAGGCATAGATAGGGAATCCCCTAGAAAACTGGATAGAAAACTAGCCTTGTGGATAAATTGTGATTATAGTTGAGATAGTTCAATAAGATAGATCTATCAAAGATGATTCCTGACATAAACCACTAGCCTCCAAGGATCACATGTGTCCATGAGAACATGTATACATGCGCACATAATACAAATATATACACATAAAATGAAAGTGTCCAAAAAAAATCAATCAACCAAACAAACCAAAAAAGTCCCCCCAAACAAAAACACAAAATGATGTAAAAACCTGTAAATCTCAGAAACCAAGTTCCACAGAACTTTTGATAGAAACAATTAGAAATGTCCAAATGAAAAAGAGGGAATTAAGTTTGAAGTATGGGAAATATCTAATTTCAAATACCCCAAAGAATAAAAACTATCAGAAAATTATTTAGTGTGAAAGTTAATAAACCAACAATTTTTATTATAAAATTAAACTTCTGTCAAAATTAGCATTATCTCAATTTTCAAACATTATGTTTTCATGAATTTTACACAAGATAAATAGACACACACATTGAAAGATATCTTCTATTTCTTACTGAAGAGATTACCAGTCTAGATATGCTACTTTTTTATTTCAAATTTCATAAAATAAATTTCTTTGTTACAATTTTTACATTTCAATTTGAAATTATAATATGCCTACATTATTTCCCCTCCATATTCCTTAACTCAAATTTTACCATATACCCCTCCTTGCTCTCTTTCAAGGTTACAGCCTTTTTACCATGTATTGTTGTTACATACATATATGTAGTCATTTAGTTTTTATAATGTATTGTCAAAGCCAGAAAGACCAATACATGACACTAGCATGCTTTTCTTTTTACAAAATCATTTGCTTGAGCCATGTTATCAGAAGAGTATAAGATGCACATGTAACTGGTGCTGTGTACCTTAGGCTGAGAACTGAAACTTTCATTTGGTTGACTGGGGTCAGTGTGTCCAGAGCAGTGAATGACCTGGAACCAGGAAAAGTTGCCTGCTTCATTCTGGAATTGTGACAAGTTGAATTTACAGATTCCTGTGATCTCATTTCAGAGAACTTTTGAGATGGACCATTGCTTGTCTGGAGGCTACCTGAGCAGTGGAGATTGTACCAAATCTCCCCAGTTTCTATACAAGAGATGCTAGTAACAGGAATTCCTTGTTGTCCCCACTTCAACTGAGGGAACACAAACCCTAGAAAGTTCTACATTTCTCTGGAACACAAAAGTTTCCTTTCAGAACTGTTCTCCGAGTCTACTGTGCCTTCTAACTTTTATAGAAAATCTTATAAATTTTTCCTATGTGCTACATGAAACCAAGGAAGTATTTTATCTAAGTGTAACTTGATGTATACTTATGTTCTGTTTGGAGGAGCATTAGTGAGGAAATACTTAAGAGGAGTGGGGCTGAGTCATAGAGTCGCATCTCTAAGAAACCTCTGCAGTGTGGATAACAACTGTGGAAGTCTACTTCACCAGACTCCTGCCTTCAGTTAACTTCCACCACCTATATAGTCCCTCAGAGCAATTCTGAAGTGTGCAGTGATAGGCTGTAAGGGGAAGTGATATTTGGAATCCCAGGTCAGGGTCCCAGGACTCTGACTCCTCAGGGAGTGTTGACAGTCTCATCACCATGATGCATCTCCTAGTTATGTCTATATTACTTTCCTTATTTCTGCACATGTCCTTGAGTTAGGCTTCAGATTTTAGATCACCACTCCCAGTTGTCACTCCACAGGAGTGTAGCCATTTCCTAATTAATTCATCATTTCCCTCAGGCTCTTACATTTTTCTGTCAACTCTTCAGCAAAATTCCCTGATTGGTAAAGTGTGTAAAAAAATATCTTTTGATTATGTATTGGGCTACCTATATCATTAACAACAATATATCCAGATTTTATTGATATGATTTTCTCCCAGTAACTACCAAGCACTGTAGAAATGTTCTTTCCTACTAATCCTGATGGCAGCAGAATTATGTGATATAATTGTATTTTGAAAAATTCACAGGCATATCATATTTATTTATCAAAATAACAGTGAAAGACTCACAAATGGACAAGGATAAGGCCTCCCCAGTCAAATTTTGGCATAGCTTAGAATACAAAATATGAGTTCCCATTTTGAACAAGTCCTGAACCAAATCAGAATGTGGATAATTGGGTGTACCATGAATGTTGTGCCACTATTGGAATGACAGCAATATTTTGCTTGACTTGGTGATTGTGTTAATGAGCAGCCTAATATTTCACTTCTTGACACTTCACCACAGTATCCAGGATAGTATATTTGGAATTATGAAATCAGCAGGCACATTGGGAGTTCCTAGATCAGGCCCAGCCTTATTTACCCACACACTAAAACAAAATTCTATTTTATTTTCATTAGTAGGTTGATTATATATGGTTTGATATATACAATAGCAGAGCACATATGCTTTGTTGAGAGCTTTTGAGGCCTCATTGCTCAAAAACAGGATAATAAGCATCTCATCATTTGTCAGTAGTTTTACAACTTTTATGCATTTTTTTACCATATACACATCTAATGTGAAATTTGTAACAGCTATATTTACAGTTCCTTTAAGTATGTAAGATATAAGATGGTAGTTACTATTGTATAATGCTAATTTTCAGATAAGATATGCATGATCTCTTAAGATTTACTGCTACCTTCTCAATACAAGGGAATTTACTTTATTATTCTTTTTTATAGTCTTTTTTATTTTTTAAATTTAAATTAGAAACAAGGTTGCTTCATATGTCAATCCCAGGTCCCTCTCCCTTTACCTCCCCTCCTCCCATGCCCTCCCATCAGCTCCCCAGTACCATCTCATTTTCCCAGGAAGGATGAGGCCCTGCATGAGGGTGTCCATAGTCTGTCATTTCATCCAGGGCAGGGCCTAGACCCTCCCCCATGAGTCCAGGGTGAGAGTGTATCTCTCATTGTGGGTTGGGCACCCAAAGTCCATTTATATGCCAGGGATAAATATTGATCTACTACCCAAGGCCCCATAGATTGCCTAGGCCTCCTCACTGACACCTACATTCAGGGGGTATGGATCAGTCCCATGCTGGATTCCCATCCATCAGTCTGGGATTCAACAACTAACCCTTGTCAGGTCAGCTGTTTCTGTTTGGAGATCAGCCCTCTGTCAGATGAGGGGTTAGTGAATCTCTTTTCCCATTCTGTGGGCTGCATTTTTGTCTTGTTGACTGTGTCCTTTGCCTTGCAGAAGCTTCTCAGTTTCAGGAGATCCCATGTATTAATTGTTGATCTTACTGCCTGTGCTACTGGTGTTATGCTCAGGAAGCTGTCTCCTATACCAATTCGTTCAAGTGTATCACCCACTTTCTCTTCTAAGAGGTTCATTGTGACTGGATTTATGTTGAGGTCTTTGATCCATTTGGACATAAGTTTTGTGCATGGAGATAGTCATGGATCTATCCGCATTCTTCTACATGCCAGTATCCAATCATGCCACCACCATTTGTTGAAGATGCTTTCTTTTTTCCATTATATATTTTTAGCTTCTTTGTCGAAGATTAGTGTGCATACCCATATGGGTTAATATCAGGGTGTTCAATTCGATTCCATTGGTCTACCTGTCTATTTTTGTGCCAATACCAAGCTGTTTTCAGGACTACAGCTCTATAATAGAGCTTGAAGTCAGGGATAGTGATGCCTCCACATGTTGCTTTGATGAATAAGGTTGTTTTGGCTATCCTATGTCTTTGTTTTTCCACACAAAGTTGATTATTGTTCTTTCAAGGTCTGTG